ATAAGTCTCTAGTCTGAAGAAGAAGAAGAAGAAGAAGAAGAAGAAGAAGAAGAAGAAGAAGAAGAAGGAGGAGGAGGAGGAGGAGAGAGAGAGCTGACGAGGGAGGGAGGAGAGGTCCTCCGGCTCCCAGGTACCTCAGGCGGCAATGGCCGCCGTGCTGGCTCAGTCGTCCTGCTGCTGCTCCGCTTGCTGCTGCGCTAATGCTGCGCTGCCGCTGCTGCTCCTTGCTCGCTCCTGCGCTAAGCTTAGCGCATCAAAACAGCGCTCTGGCGCTGACCATACCATACCGGTATAGTGCCGGTAGGTCGATGCCTCCAAGTGAGGCTGTACCGGTACTTTATACCGGTGGGGCAGAGGCCGGCCTCAATGCTGCGAGGCCTGGCCATGCCCTGAACCGTCCAGATGGACGGTTCAGCCCCAACCGGCGGGCGGCAGCCTCAAGAGCGCCGCCAGGCCCAAACGATAATGCCGTTTGGGCCTGCCCGTTGGGTACTGGTCCAAGATCGGGCCCTGAGGGCCTGTACTATCCCAAGGTCGGGCCTTTAGGCCCTGATGTGTCCCTCCGACCCTAAGTCGGGTCCGGTAGGGCCCGTGTGCGTCGAAGATGTAACACACAGTCATGTTTTTTTTGAGTGTATAGAGAATATGACGACAAAAAAAAAAAAAAAAAAAACGGCAGTGTAAGAACAACAACCCCGCCCCCCTCTTCGTCCCTCTCCACGCTGCGGCGGGTCCACTTGTGTTTGTAATCAACCAATCTTGTATGGATACCATATGCTTACTTGCTGAGTTTTGACTCTTTGTGTTCGTGCATGTCCGAGTGCATGTATGTGTGTGTGTGTGACACTCAGTTCGGTGGGCCAAGATGGTGAGATAGAGAATTGGCAGGGGGTGCGCTGAGATGGTGTGATTGAGAATTGGCCAAGGGCAGTCGTTCAAACTCCCCTTCAATTATAAGAGTGCAACTGCTGTCATGCAGGCCTTGTAATGTATGAATGTATGAATAAGGTAATGAGCATCAAATCTGCTTGGCAGTTGCCATTTGCCGGGGGGTATTATCTGAAACAGTGTTGTTACGTAAGCCGTAATGCTAGGCATGCATCTTGGAGCATTTCCTGCAAGGCAAAAGCCAAAGAAGAAACCGAGCAGCATGTGTCAGAAACACTTCCTGGACAGTGTGGCAATCTCTCCAGCCTCCCGTCCTTCATCCACATGATGCCGTCCACCCCTCCAGCGTCTCTCCACCCTCCGTCCACCAACTTCCTCTCGACCTTTTCCAAACTTCAGGCCAAGGTACTCCAACCTCCACCCGGCCTCCATGCTCCATCCGCCATACTTCCTCACCCTCTGCGCCCATCCTACTCCTCAACTGTGGCAACCTTTCACCCCTTCCACCCTCCTCTCTCACTGGACGGATTTTCCGCCTCCACTGTGCCAGACCTGCTCCTAAACTGACACAACCCTCCTTCCCCACTGCACCGACCCACCCATCCTACTCCTCAATTGTGGGAACCTTCACGCCTTCCACCCTCCTCTTTCACTGGATGGATCTTGCGCCTCCACTGTGCCCACCCTGCTCCTAAACTTACCCAACCCTCCTTCCCAACTGCAGCGACCCCCGCCTCGACACCCATCCTACTCCTCAACTGTGGCAACCTTTCACCCCTTCCACCCTCCTCTCTCAGTGGACCAATCCTCCTCCACTGTGCCCACCCTGCTCCTAGACTGATGAAACCCTCCCTCCCCACTGCACCGACCCCCCTCCATTTTCTTCA